CTTTGAAAGTGGGGAGAAATGTTTGAAGTTGTTTAAATTATTGAGAAAATGTATGTATTTGGAACTTCCTTACCTAAGAGAAATCCAACAAATGAATATTGTTTTATTTTGATTTCATTAAAATTTAGTAATAAGCTTGCTACAAGTTAGAATCAACTGGAAGCTATGGTCCTGATTTCACTCTTACAGCTATGGGTTTATTTTCTAGGTGCCTCAGCCTATGCATCCACCTATAGGTTCTTCCTTTACTCTTCCAAAGGATCCAGCTTTGCAGAAAGAACAACTGCAGGATCTGATGACCCAGATTCAAGGAACTTGTAACTTTATGCAGGTACAAGTCATTTAAAAAAGAATCTTAATGATATACATGGTACTGAGCTACAGATCTGAAGTATTGGGAAGTTGTTAAGAGCCTAGAGTCTAAATTTAAATCTGATGGCCACTTCTTCCTAGTGCTTTTTTTTCTAGTCTGAAAATTGAGAATAATAGTTCCTACTTCCCAAGTTTGTTGGGAATAATATGTAAATTAAACATGTAAAAAGAGTAAAGAGCTCAAGAATAATTATTGCTGTAGATGATCTGAGTTTCCATTCACATTTAAAGAACTTACTCTGTGCTTGGTATTCTGTCAGGTGCCAGTGAGTATAGAAAACAGTAAGATGTAAGACCTTCATTGTCTTCAAAGAGTTTATGTTTCAGAAGATTGCAAACTTGTACTAAAAATTGCTTAAATGCCAAGTACAAGATGCTGAATTAAATTGTGGTTCTTACAGAATTTTGGAGTAGTATATTAATAAGGCATGAAATGGTCAAACATGATATATTGGCATAGTAGCAAAGAAGTTGAACTTTGGAATTAGGCATAGACTTAAATCCCAGTTCTACTACCTGTGTCATCTATGAAACATTACTTACCACCCTTGCCTCTGCTTATCTTTAAAATGAGAGAATTGCCTACCTCTTCAGGGTACTTGAGGACCAATAAAGAACTAAAATGATAACTACAGTTGTGGGAACCAGCTCCACAACTGAACGGGTCCTGAGGAGTGGCTTGTGCAATTGTGGAAAATTGGAGACAGAACAAGCGGGGCCTGGGCTCACCTTTCCTGATGTCAGGATCAAGAGAGAGAATGTATTTTCCAATGGATTTATATAGTCTTGGGCTTCCAAGCCTCCAGCAGGCACATACATAATATGGTGGGCAGGTACTAGGGCAGTGGTTCTCAACCTGTGGGTCGCAACCCCTTTGGGGGTTGAATGACCCTTTCACAGGGGTTGCCTGATTCATTACAGTAGCAAAATGACAGTTATGAAGTAGCAACGAAAATAATTTTATGGTTGTGGGTGTCACCACTACATGAGGAACTGTATTAAGGGTTGTGGCATTAGGAAGGTTGAGAACCACTGTACTAGGGGCACATACATAATAGAGTAAGCATATACTAGAGTTAAGTTAGCAGCTTAACCTTGGATGTCCCTGAGCTCGCTCCAGGGTAATAATATGATCAGTATCAAAAGGGAGATGGCTGCACCTTGGGTGGGACAGAAAATAGAACCTGGTTACTCATAAAGACTGATAGCCTCAGGCCACCTAGTGAGCAGCCAGATGTTTTTTATGGTAGCACCTTTATGGGGGAGTATAGTGGGAATGATTTTCAGTCTGGACAATGTATACTGGGAGTCATCTAGCTCATAACTGTGAGAGCATCGCCGCACTAGGCTCAGCCTTCCAAACCCCGTGATGA